CCCCAGCCCCCCACAAGCCCCCCCCCCCGGCCCCTTCCCGAGCCCCCTGGCAGGGGGGGGCCCAGGCATCCGGCTCACCTGAAGCGGCCGATGCGGCGGAGGGGGGAGAACATCTCCCCCCCCGGGATGTACTCCATCACCATGTACAGGTTGGAGTTGTCCTGCCGGAGCACGGTCCCCTCAGCCTGGGGACAGCCGGGGGGACGGGGAACATCCCGGGGACACAGGGGACGTCCCGGGGGTGATGGAGGACACCCTGGGGACATGGGGGATGCCCTGGGGACGTCCCAGGGATGTCCTGGGGGCAACGGGGGACAGCCCGAGGGTGGTGGGGGACATCCCAAGGACACAGGGACAACCCTGAGGACACAAGGACACGCTGCAGAAGGCAGGGACATCCCAGGGCAACAAGGGACACCTCAGGGGTGACACATCCTGAGGGCACAGGGGACACCCCTGGGGTGCCACCTTGGGCACACAGGGACAACCTAGGGGTGCAGGGGACATCCTGGGGGGGGTGACAGGGCACATCCCAAGGACACAGAGGACACCTCTGTGGTGCTATCCTAGAGGTGCAACGGACATCCTGCAGGAACAGAGGACATCTCAGGGGTAACAAGGACATCCTGGAGGCGCAGGGGACATCCCGGGGGGGCCAGGGCCACCGCGGGGACAGCCCCACCTTGAAGGAGTACTCGAGGCGCACGAGGAAGGGGAAGGTGACGGCCTGCAGGATGCGCTTCTCGTTGAGCGTGTGCTCGATCTGCTTCAGCTTCACCACCTGTTTGGGGACCCCCAAATGCCCCGGACCCTGGTCAGGGACACCCCAAAACCCCCGAGGGGACCCACAAATCCCCAGGCCAGGGACCTCCCAGACTCCCCCCATCCCCTGGTGGGGGCCCTCAAAGTCCTCAAGCCCGGTCAGGGATCCCCCCAAAACTCCCAGCACCTGTGGGGACCCCCCAAGTCTCCCATCCCACTGGGCTAGGGACCCCCTAAATTCCCCCTCTGCCCAGCCTGGCATGTTGGGAACCCCCTCAAATTCCCCAGTCCCCCAAAGCCGGGGACCCTCATATGCCTCCCCCACTTCCCCCAGGCCAGGGACTCTCCCAAATCCCCCAGCCCTGAGACCCCTCAAATTTTCCCCCCAGGCCTGAGATGCTGAGAAGCCCTCCCAAATTCCCCATCCCCCCCAGGCTGGGAACATCAGGGACCCCACTGACCCCCCAACCACCTCACTCCTGTCTGGGGGACACTGGGGGGAC